GGTCTTTCATGGATTCTACACTGTTGAATAACAGACGCTATTTTTCTTCTGAAGTTGTGCGGTCTGATAACAGCTCCTTTCTGCAGCAAATTCATCTATAGCCTGCTTGGGAGTAAGTCCTCCTTTTCCAACTAAGCCCTGTATACACGTCTACTCAGCAGTGAGCTGCCCTGAGTGCAAGAGCACTCCCTGAGAAGGACCTGTAGAACAGTTCTATCTTTGTAATTAACACGTACATTTTAGCACTGATAAATGATATCTAGGCTGAAGCTTATAATGACAGTTGCAATGGAGCAGATCAACTTTCTATGGAAACATGGCATGGGTCCAGGTTAACTGAGGGATCATCTCACCCCCATTACATCAACCCGTCCCACCTGGTCAGGCAGAGAGGGCATGTTGTGGACCCCGTCAGCAAGAGAATGTTGGCTGGCGGGCCCAGGAAGAGAGCCTTCGCTGCCGTTGCCCCCGCCCTTTGGAATATTCTCCCCCCAGAGCTGTAGCAGGCCCCTACCCTCCCGGCTTTCCAGAAAGAATTAAAGACCTGGCTCTGCCAGCTTGCATGGGGTGACAAGAATCTCACCCATTCCTGGGGGTGGCTGGCGCCTTGATGACACTCCCCAAGCTACTGCCAATTTAACATCTATTCTTGGATTATGTTTATTTTCTATTTATTCAAGATCATTTTATATTGTATTTTAATTGATTTTAATTGCTTTGTAAACCACCCAGAGTCGTTTTTAATGAGATGGGCGGTGACAAATTTGAAAAATAAATAAACATCCACAAGAAGGAACTGTACAAGCTTGGACTCAGTCCAGTCTCTGCACTTAACAAGAAACAGGTACAGTAATGGAGATCTCCAGTCTGATCCAGTGAGCTGGGCAACCAGATGTGGACAGCTGTTTCAATGGCTGCACCTGAGCATGTGCAGAAGTGATCCAGACTGGGAATCTTACTGAACCATCTCACCACCATATTTGAATTCAGGGAACCTAGCTAATGTAAACATCCTTCTGTCTCAGGGAGAAAGTACCTTGAAAAATGTAGTTTGGAACAGTGAAGGGGGTATGATAAAAATTGCCTAACGCATAATTTGGAACTTACATATCGAATTATCTCATTTGTGACCTCTGGGCACAAGATGAAACTTTGCAGATTTGTTGATTCCATGTCGAGGATGAGTGGAAAGTGATACTTAACTATTTAAAGCACCTAGTTAGCTCTGTTTGAATGCTGTTAATTTGTCATTCAAGTTTGCAGTTACAGTATCTTTCTATAAATAGGATCATCTTCATTTTGTAAGGTTTTTTTGGTGGCAAAAAGATTACTGTTCATTTCCTTCTGGTACCAATTGTTTCAGTCACATTGCCATATCACTCTTTTTTATCCACTGCACTGAATGTTGGTTTCTTTAATCTTTGTTTAATGAATAAAGCACCTTTGGCTGAGTCCACACAACACACTAAGCAAGCTAGTGCTTGCAGATTCCTCCAAAGGAAAGGACAGTGGCATTGTCAGCATATAATACAATGGAGATGAGTCTACGTGTGAATGCTGAAGGATGAAACTCATTAAAGCCTGTACTCTGCAATTAAAATAAAGATTGGATAATAGGAGAATAAGAATAAACCCCTGCTGGACACCCATTGTGATGGGGTCACTGAGAGCACTATAACCATCACATTTTACTTTGGTGTAAGCATTTCTCCTTCCCTCCCTCTTTTACCCTGGCTTAGTTTGTTGTGTGGACCCAGCCAATGGTGTTCTATTCATTAAATAAAGATTAAAGTAACTAAAATTCAGTGCAGTGGATACACCAAGAATGATACAGTAATGTGACTGCAACAATTGGTACCAGAAGGAAATGAAGAATAGTCTTTCTTAAGCCAGCATCCAATGCTATTGTCTCCCCCTAGGACTCATTCCTCACCTTCCAAATATCTGTCCTTTGCCTGTAATTTAAAAAGGAAACAGGATGACTGATTAAATGAATACTAAGAGCTTCAATTCTAAACATCCATTTTCTGTCTTGTTCCTTCCCTTATCCAAATTCTGATCTCTACATTCTCATCTTTTCCTATAATCATAATGATAGGACATCAATGGGCTTAAGAGCAGTAGACTAAATCTCTACCAAGTCTGTAGCTGACTCTCAGTTCAGTTATAAACTGAACATAAAAGTCTCTTGTGGGAAAATTACAGCAATATTCCTTCTTCTTAGTTATTCCATTCAGCGCCCACATAAAAAGGTATTAATTTAATAATTACTTCAACAACACATTGATCCAATAGTATCTCAGGAAAAAAAAAAAATCTTTCACTTCAATGCATAATGCAGCAATTAGCAAACAAAGGGAGCAAAAAAACCAAGCAAGTGAGAATTTATAGCGATTTATAGTACTGGCAGCATCAGAAGGCAAAACTTTTTTTGAAACAGGTTGGAAGACGAAACCACCAGTACGTCAAATAAAAACTCACACATGTGTTTATTCAAAATTTTGACAAGTATAATATATTCATCACATGCCATTATTCCCAGAAATGAACACTTTAAATATTATTTTGACAATATAATTATAGTTCTTGCTCAATCATAGTAGTAAAGAACTGGCATCAATTCCTTAGAAGTAGGAGAAGAACAGAAGCAAAAGTCGGAAATAAATTCAAGGCAATCCCTTTTTAAATAACTAAGAAAAAAAATACACAGATTACATTATAGTCACTCTGCTGGTTATTCTGTCTACCACAATGACAATAATGTAATCTGCATCATTTTTTTCTTAGTTACTTAAAAAGAGATTGCCCTGAATTTAAGACTAACAAACTGCAATATTCAAAAGGAAATTCCAATTTTAAAATAATAAATGCAGAGACCTGCAATGGAAAAGCTGACTGTTAAACTTTATATATCTTGAAGAATTTAATCAGAATCGGTGAGGATTTCTTCTCAATTAAATATTGACTAGTATCCTAGGAGCTATTTTCTTCAGAATCATCCTGTTGTAGAGGAGGAAAAAATGAGATTACCTCTTAATATAATCCTCCAGTCCCACTAAGGATCCCTCTCTCCAGCCATTTTTTTTTTTCATAATCTGCATGTTAGATGGAAATAGGTATTTAATGTTGCATGTAGCTATGTAGCTCATCCCTAAATTTGTACAGAATGTTTCATTTCACAGAGGGGATTATATTATCTACTCAATCCATTACTAGAATAGGAAAAATATTATTTAAGTTAGAAGGTTTTTGTTTATATGAAATAACTGCATGTCTCACACACACACACACACACACAGACGCTGTACAACTCATGGTTATCTATCTATCTATCTATCTATCTATCTATCTATCTATCTATCTATCTATCTATCTATCTACCTACCTACCTACCTACCTACCTACCTACCTACCTATCTGCCTTCCCCCTATTCCATCATTAAAAAAAATTCCCAAAGCAGGGTACAAGTCATTGAAAACATTGACCAAAAACTAAAAAGAATTGTAAAACCATTATAATAATTACTATTCTGTAAAACTCTGAAAGCTCTAAAATGTGAGACAATACAACAATAGTCAAGAACAACAACACAAAAGCTTCAGTTCTGTCAAAAGCCCAGGTGAAGAAGTGCCTCTTAAGCCAAAACCCATATCTTAATCGGATTAGTAGCATCTGAACTGAACAGGGAGAGTCTCCCACTTTCAAGTCACTCATGCAAAGGGCAGCTGCACCAGTTCAGGAAAAGAGACAGCTGCTTTAAAGTGCTCCTAACATTTTAAATTGTGTAGTTACAAAAACTGTAATTTTTTTAATCACAAGATTAAAAGGTAGGAATGAAAGACCTCTGAGCAGGAAAGCCTTCCAATTTCTACCCTCAAAACATCCCAACCCCCAAGAGCTCAAGGTTACCATTTGGGGGGCCAATTTCAGCTCATACTGGTAAGTTTACAATGCAAAAGTGAAAATGGGAGGCCTCAGGCAGGCTAACTGCTCCCATCGCGCTTCTTACCCTTACCCTAACCCTAACCCTGCCCTTTCCCACGACATTACTATATCACTGGATTGCCTCCTGAGGCCCCTCCAGAAGTAAGGAAGGTGAACTGGATCCTCCAACCCCTCCAGCCCTGCTTCAGAGGCCGGTTTGTTGGCAGGGAGCTGTAGAGCAGTGTGTGCCATGCCCTCTCAGTGTGGAAGCCATCTGGCACTTCCACAGCATGACTCCTAATCCAGAAACACCCCACTAAGCATTCGCACATATGTCCCAGACAGCAATCAAAGCAGGTAACACTTTGCTTTGACCTTCTTAGACGAAGGAAAGAACATTTTTGAACTGAAAAGACCATGATGCTGAAACATCATAGCAACAACCACAGAGCATCAAAAAAATAAAATAAAAAAATGGGGGGGAGGATCCAGTTCTACAAACAAGGTGAATGCCAAATATGTAAAATATTTTTCTCACCCTTAGGCAAATCAAAGGGGTGGGAGAGGGAAGGACATATTAAGTTACCTGCAGGCCTTCGAACAAGAAGGTGTTGACGTAAAAATGAATGTCCCTTCCTTTTATCTTGTGTTGGACAGGGAGAATAGCTCTTCTCTTTTTTTATATTGGGAAGATCACAATGACAAGTAAAGTACCCCGTTCTGAAGAACATGGCTTTCATCAGAACCTCGATGAATATATACATGCATAAAGATTGTTTTCAATCTGACTTACAGAACATGTAGATAACAAGCCATAATATTTAAATCAATACCAATAAAGTTCCATAAAGAATTAAGTTTGTTTTAAGATGAAAATTTGGTAATTTTTTTATGGTAAGAACATCGTTCAGGCTGCCATGAAGAAATGCTTTTGTAAAACGGAGCTGGGCAGTCTTTTTTCACACCATCTCTGTAACAAAGTTAACTATGTGAGTGCGGAAAGGCACAACTTTAGGTGAGACTTTTTTGGGCTTATTTGCAAGACTGCAGTATGAGCAATTGCCTAATAACTTACCTATCAAGAGTGATTCCAGATCAGTTTCTAACTTCTGTAGCAACTGGATCACGTGGATAGATGCATCAATCAGACCCAAGTTCCTATTATTAAAAACGAAAAAGCCTCATTTACAAGAAGAGAAACCAACATTACATGCAACAGGAAAATAATGCATCGGTTCATCAGTTATTTGGGGCAACCACCAAATAACTGATGAAGCAATACAAATTATATTTAATCACCACGTATGAATTTGATCAATAAGTACTTCTCCTAGCTCATGCCCAATTTTTTTCTTGTGTAGAAGTTCAAATATGAAGTACTTCAATATATAAAGCTAGTCATGACTTACTCAAATGGGACCTTCCATATGCAGTAATGCCAAAGACTATATATGTCAGAATATCTGGATATAATGCATTGCCCTCTAGTACCACAATTTTCAATAAAAAAAAATAAAAAGCATCCAAGATGTTCAGTAAGAAGTCATGGAATTTTAAGAAATTAAATAAAAGAATCAAGTGATGCACGCGTGTACTGTTCCAAAATGTATTATCCTTTCTAGTACATAAATCCAAATAGCTGAGCTGAGCTGTATCTCATGATCATCTTCAAATGAGGAACTGATTTCATATTTTTTGCACAAACCATTAGAGAACTCTACAAAACTAGAAAAACTTTTTAATAAGAAGTGGTACTAAGGATCATAAGAGTCATAATTCATCATTGCTATTTATTGGTGAAATGACTTTTAGGTAATACACAATGAATATGTTGTGGCAAAGAATGGCACATATTCCTGTTTTACATGGCATTTCATAGAAGTAATTTCACCTACACTAAGAGAGATTTATTTTTTATTTCATAAGTCTTATATATACAATATACACACTTCGTATAAACATTGTCCTTCTGTTAAGAAAAAAAGAGCAGAGGGAAAAATTTCTAGATTAAATGGGAGAAAACTAAAAGATATCAATTACCCAGGCAGGTACTTGTGCGCAAAGTTTAGACACTCCTAAACAAATTTTAAGTTTCAATGAATCCCTAAGTGAATAGGAACTGGCACCACACCTGCACAGTACAAACTCAAACAAGACACCTTCCTGCAAGTTAGAATGCATGTACTATTTATGAGCAATTGCTTACCGACTAAAAATAAAAACAGTAAATGCCCCACAGATGTCCTGGACTTCAATGCACAAATGCTGCTGCGTGTTAATTGAGGCTAATAATAATTAAGTCCAAAACATCTGGAGGGCACCAGGTTGCCTATTTTTTCCTATCTTATTTATTGGACTACTACTAACTTATAACCAAACTACTACATCAAGCTAAAATATTATTTTTGCATTTGTTTCTTAAAACAAAACTACATTTTTAGTTTGGACTATGGTAGAAGAAATATGTGCATTGTATACATTCTAGTTCAACAACATACAACATATATATTGTAGACGAAAAATTGGTACTTTATCTGTATATATACAACAAGACTTAATGGAGCCCTGAAACCAGAAATTCTAGGCTAACATGCTATTTCTGCTAGATTTCAACAGGTAAACCTAGTCAAATCCATCTTTCTCTCCATCATTATCGTGATTTGCATTTCGGAGATAATAGCTCAGACTCATGTAACAGGTTGTTCTAACTATTTCCAGTATAAATTATTTGGTGGCTCATATACACTAAAGTACTATAAAAAATAGTACAACATTATGAACTCACTGAACTTCCACCTCTGAATAGTTCTACTGTACAACATACTCAGGCAGCCTAAGAGAAAATAACCTTGCCAAACATCCAAAGAAAAAGCAGATTTCAAAATAAAGCCTAATCTAACCTTTCTGTCACTTGATTTTTCATACCTTTGAACAGAGTCAAACAAACACAAGATTATGCATCGGTCAGTTAGCATGACCTATGAATCCAACAACCTGACAAGACTTTCCTCACAAGGTTTCACTCTGATGCCAGAGACAAATCATCTCCTATTAATATGTTGAGAGTAGACAAAAGATGAAGTGAATTAACAAAGAAAGAAATGGATTTCAAAGAGAGCAACCTTCCCAAGTCAAATCAGATAAACACTCAGAAATGTGAACAAATGATTGAATTTAATCATTTAAGTAAAACTATGCAGGTATAGGCCCCACTAACACAAGCCAAAATTATACCTCATAACATTTTGGTTATTTGCACACTGCACGCAAGCATTCCGAAGGCATCGAAAACATTCGGACAGCAGTAGCAAACGTGAATCTAGGTGTGCCAACGTACTGGCATCCTTGTATGTCACATCAATTTCATGTGAAACTTTTTTCAAAATTTGCAGGAGATCCTGGAACAAACTTTCAGTTGCTGTTTCCCTGAAATGAAAAACAAACATGAAGTGAAGCAAACAGTATTATCAATGTAAACATAAACACCTGTAAACAAATTTGCAAAAGCTTCTCTTCTTTTAAAACAAAAATTGCTTATTTTGAGGGAGGAAGGAGGAGGGAGGAAGGAGATTTAGACATCTAGCAAATGAAACTTTTTCTGGGCTTTGTCATTTCTATTCTAGGTGTTCAGATATTCAAGCAAATTCACAAGTCTCTGACCACCAGGCAAGATTTTTAAAATAGATTTAGATCTACCTTCCTTTTATCTGCCATAAACAGGTATCTGCAGTGCTCTTCCATTCAACTATGTCTGCACCTAGAACCACTTTGTGCAACTAGGACAGATGTATCAGGCTTACTGATTCTGAGAGCCATCTTATGCTTGTCTCCTGACATGGAACAAAAATTTAATTGTAATTTTTTCATCAGCCTTCATTTCAGAGTCCCATCTTTACAGAATTCAGTCGGGCCATGCCTACTGGATCCTTAGCTCAAAAAGCTGTCCAGCCTGGCTTCTCTTGATCCAAGCAGCAGCTCCTCTTAATGCATTCATTTGGGTAAACCAGAGGTCCACTTTCCCACTATTTGGCATCAGAAAAATATGATTGCCCAACAATGCCTAGAACCCATTAGTTTTTTATCAGAACAGAAAAAAATAGGACTTTTAGATCTTTGTGATAGAAGGAAGACTGCTAAGCTCTATAGGAATCTAGAGTGTTGTTGCTAATTTGTGCGTTGACATTTAATTTAGGACTTGCAGGATGGCTACCAAGGAACAAGAACACCAAGAAAGATGTCAGGATGGCAACAAACTCTGAAGAAAGTTTATTAAGACATTGTCCCTGAATATACTCACAACGCCACGTGGTCTGTTCTTAATCTGCTGGGTGAGCTGAAATGGCAAGGACTATCTCTGGAATTTGACCCACAAAGGGGTTGCTTTCACTGGGCAAGTTTTATAGCCCTGCAACCTCTCTTTCCCCCTCGACCCCCTAAGTTGCTTAGTTAGATATTAATGAGGATTAAATATCTAGCAGGCACTGGGCTCCCGCTAGGACAAAAAAGGAAATAATTATCTGATCAGGGTTAGAGCAAAAAGTTTGTTATCTAATAACTTGCAAGAATAAATAGGAAGAGCAAGCTTGCCTAAGCAGCCTCTCTTCCAGATGTTAACTGAAAAGTGCAGGTCAGTCATAAGACATAGTGGAAAGCTAGAGGATTACGATGAGACAAAGTGTCCCAAAGTTCCTTAGACATTCCAGAGGTTTTCAAGGAATATAATCTGTTGACCAAGACAACCGTTTGCTAAACCCACTTTTACTGGGCTTACAGTATCCTTCACCAGTGACTCTGAGCAGGGTAGACCTGCCCTGTTTGGATTCAGTGCACAACTGGGGGGTCCTTCAGGACTCATAGCTCCTGCTGGAAGAGCAAGTGGCACAACTTTGTTTTGTCTGCAAATTGCCCCTGTTCCTGGACGCCCTGCTCACAGTCAATCATGTCTTAATCTTTAATTATATTATATAAATATCACTGCATTGAAATAATACGTATCATGATTTATAACAACACAATAAAAAGGGAGGCATGCCTCAGTCATCTCCCAGTTGGATTATTGCAACGTGCTATAAATGGGGTTCCCTTGAAGACCATCCAGAAGCTTCAACAGGCCTTTAGAAAGGCAGTCAAGATGTGGCCCTTTCCCCAGGCCTTTGGGTCAAGATGAGTATAGTCCCAATTGGATGAATTGCAATACATTTTAGTCTAGTCACCACATTATTGCTTTGGCAGGTTTTAATGCATTATGTTGTTTTCCTTGTATTGCATTTGTTGTGTGGTTTTGGGTTTTTTTGCATGCCACCCTGAGTCATGCTGTTTGAGTTGGGCAGCGATATAAATGCTACAAAAATTTACTAAAGCCATGCCCCCTTCACCTGCTGCCTGTCCTCAGTTTCTCCAGTTACTGTCTAATAAAGCAACACGCGTGCCCATCAATGAGTAGACCCATAGGGGACACTGAACAAAGTTAGCCTCATACAACAATATTTTTCCTGGTATTTACAGTGGTAAAAAACAGGATAAATAAGTCAAAACTGATAAATGAATGAGAGAGAACTAAACAAAAAACCTATTTCAACTGAAAATTATCTTCAAACCAACTGAAAGATTTGTGAAAGACAGAAGGTAGCATGAGAAAGTAGTGGAATCAAAAGACAGATAGAGAAGAATATTGTACCTTCACACACAACTGCACAAAGGGATCTGGGCAACAAAGTGTGATTGTCATCACAGTGAATCTAAGGCAGTGTTTCATGAACTAGTCTCCCCTCCATATAAGAATCCATGATCACAAAGACCACTCTGATATCAAGATGTCTAATGTTAATGTCTGAATCCTGTATTGCCTCTCCCCAACAAGCCATTACCTGAAACGTAGTTTGTCATAAGACTTGACATCCTGTCCTTTCCAAAGACAGGGAGAGTGAGACACCTCTGTCCTGGTTCAAGGATGTTAGAACTATAACCCATTCCATAACAGATTCAAGATTTAAGCCAAGATGGAACACAACCCTAGAATTCAGCCAACACACCTCTCTCTACAGACAGATCCACAGACAGTTTACCCCTTCCTGTTACAAGAGGAAGGCACAACCTACCTCCGGTGATGAGAAAACAATGGAACAACAGGTGGGGGGGGGGAGAGTGTCAAGTCAAGTCAACATATTCTTTTTGAATCTACCCATCACTAGGAAGCCAGAACGACCACAAAGCCCTTCATAAGTCAAGGACAGTCCTACTAATGCCTGGACCAGATGAAGACTGTAGACTGGTCTGCTTCTCATTTCAATTTAAAGTTGGAGAAAAATGTATTTCTTCTTAGGAAAGCTCATTTTTTGTCACAGGTTACAAGTCCTGGCTTCCAGAAAACCCATCTGATGGCTGTTTGGGGTTCAAATAAAATGGTAAGTCATAAAGTTTAGTTAAAGTACAGCACACAATCAAGCCCAGCCCAGAAATAGAGCAAAGGTATCTGCCACTAAAAAAATTACTGGAGAGAGCTACTGTTAGAGAAGTGAATTACCAAGGAAACAGACCTCTAAAGATAAGGAACTTAGGTGGAATCTCAGTCCAGATCAGGATGGGAACTTTTGTTCTTCTAACTGCAATATGGTGCATTATTTCTGAAGCAATAGTTCTGCAAGCAGCCTGCTCATCACACAGATCCAGATGTTCAAAATGAAAAATAAAATAAAATTCCTAACAGAGTAGCAAGGTTTAAGTGCACCTTTGGATTTTTCTTGGTGACACATCAGTATTTGTCTCAAAATGAATTTTGGAAAAATATAATGCTGGCTGCCTTTGCATGTAAGAATTTAACATTCTGATTTATCATACCTGAACAGCATCTTAATCATTCCCAGTTCACCTTTCTCACTCACTCATGAAGGCATCTAACCTAACCAAACTAAGCAAAAAACTGACATTTGTACGGAAAAGTCATGTGCTAATGAACTAGGCCTAATCAGGAAAACAGAATAGAATTAGATCAAACTCAAGTCAGGAAATCTTTCGTTTGAAGAGGACTCTAATTTTGTAACTGCACAAAGAGAGCAATGGAAAAGGGATGATTTTGTTGCACTTTATTACACAGTTTGGTTTAGACAGCAGTCTCAGACGTGACGAAATCAGACTGAGGCTGATGAAAGCAACTGCACCACCACACCACTATTATATCTGCAGTCTCCAGCGAACTTTCTACATCACTTTTTGCACCTGTGAAAAGGACCTGGATGTTTTGGTGGATCACGAGCCAAATATAATAATAATAACAACACTAACCACAACAATAATTTATTCAACTTGTATGCTGCCTGACTCTCTGTGACTCTGAGCAGCTCACAACAATGAATCTGAGTATGAACCAACAATGTGATGCAGTCACAAAAAAAAAAGCAAATGTAATCCTAGGCTGAATCCACAAAAATATATTGTCAAGATCAAGTGACTCTGTATTATACTTTGGTCAGACCACTCCTAGAATATTGTGCAGTTCTGGGCACTGATTTTAGAAAAGCCGTTGTCGAACTGGAATGTATCTCAAGGTAAGAAGCCAAGACGAAAAGAGGTCTGCAAAAAAAAAGACTAATAAGAAATAACTGGAGGCTTTGAGCATGTTTACCTCGAAGAAGAGAAATCTGGAGAAGAGAAAACAGTGGGGAGACATGACAACGGTCTGAAGAAGGGCTGTCAGGTAGAAAATGAGGCAGAAGTGCTCAGGTTTGTTCCAGAAGACAGGACCGAAGAGCCCCTTTGATGTAGTGGCTGAGGTGCTGGGTTAGAAACCCGGCGACAGTGAGTGAGTTCCAGGCTTCCCTTAGGCACGAAAGCCGGCTGGGTGACTTTGGGCCAGTCACTCTCTCTCAGCCCAGCCCACCTCACAGGGTGGGTGTTGGGGGAAAATAGGAGGCAGGAATATTAGGTATATTCGCCGCCTTGAGTTATATATTTAAAAAAGGCAGGAT